TATATATATATATATATATTATCTTATATATATAGGACATGTTAATGGAGAGTGTGATTTATGTAGCTTGTGAGTTGTGATATGAGGAAAGCATTGAATACTTATCCAACTACCCACCGGAAATGCAGACGATAACATCAATGAGCAATGACACTCAACATTAATTTTGAACGAGATCGAGGCTTATTTTTGGGTCTTTATGTTCCTGTTTTGTCGACTGTTTTAATTGGAAACGTTGTTTCCTAAGCAAAAATTGAAACCAAAACAAACTAGACTTTGAATTATTTTGGTTCGTGGTAAAAACAGGATAAGATCACGGGAATTATAGGAACTCTAATTTTATTACAAATGTACAATCAAGAAACCGTATATTATTACACTTCCAATGTTTTTTCATTTGTTTTTAATCGTTGCTACGTATATAGATACTATTTTAATGTTGAGTAGTATAATTTAAATATATCGTCTACATTTTTAGTTTATTTATATAAAATTTAAATATTTAATCTGTATATATAATTTAATTGTATAATTTGTAAGTATTATTTGTATGTCGTAATCATGTGTAGTATATAAATGTAAAAATAAAGTTTTTTTTATCCAATTTCATTATCTATTATTTGTTACGAGTGTGTATTTTTCCATTAAAAAAATGTCCCTTCTAAATTTTTGTTTAATTTCCATTTACATAGTTTACTCTTACAAGACTATAAAATAATATCTTAACTTGATATTAAAATAAAATAATACTAGTATATAATATTTGTTGAATCTTTGCATCCAAGCACGTCACTCTTAATTAATATACGATACGGAACAAAATGTTACGTCAACAAAAGTCAAAGTTAACTCAAATATAAATGCGCAATTTAAAGTATCAACAAAGAAGGCGAAAAATCAAATTAGAATTTTCTTTTGACAGCAAATTCAGTAATCAAATTACAATTAAAAACAAAACAAAAATTGTTTGATAAAGAAATCATTGAAATTTAATACTTCTTACAATATTTTTTATTATTTTTATTAATAAGTTTAATCAATAAAATCACTATAGTTTGGATTAAGACCCTAGCATTTCTCTTATATTTAATAAATTTCTATACGTCCGTGGGTTGATACATAAATTATTACTATTTTAATTATTTTTTATTCTTATAATTTTATAAATTTTATCTTATAAATAAAAATATTTTTATTTTAATTTTTATATATATTATTCTTATTTTATTTTAATCTTGGTCATTGTTTTATAAAAGTTATAAGGAAAAGTTTACGTAACTATAAAAGTTAAAATCGAAAATTTATATAACTATAAAAACTAAAAAGGAAAAAGAGGCATATATTAATATAAAAAAATTTAATTATTAGACTGAAAGATAAAATTTATAATATTATAGAAAAAATAAGATAATTTAAAAACTAAAATATTTTATCAAGATAAAAAAAATTAAATTATTTTATATGTTCTTTTTATGTTTTATTTATATATTTTTTATTAACGGAAACTCTTCTTTCTTTTTCTCAGGTTAGCATGTTGACCTTGTGAATCGCATACATTATGCATTTAATCTGTGAATTAGGCACATCAACTTAGATAAAGTTAATTATATATGAATAAATTAATTATTTATTTATTTCAAATTAATGACTCGTAATTTTAGAAATTTTACGGGTCTAACTTGCACTAGTGGATTAATCGATCAAACTCTAAAAGTAATTAGTTTTTTTTTTCTAAAAAAAAAGTTTAGATGACTTGAATTTTAAGAATTATTAACATTATTAAAAAATTATGATTTTATAATATATTTTATAATAACACAATATTTATTAATAAAAATTATTTTTACTTATATTATAAATATTATATATTATAATATATTATTAAAAAATAAAATATAATTATAATGACACATAATACATTATTAAATTTTATTTAAAAATAATATTATAATTATATAATTATATATCAAATAAATTTATATTAATATATTTATAATAAACTTTTTGTTATATAACATTTTTTATAGTATAAATATTATAATTAAATTTTTAAGAACTTATATAAATACTTACATATTATCCATCACTAAAATTCTCTCATCAAGACTCAGTTTCACTTCTCCCTAAATTTACCGCTGGACCAACTATTGTTGATAAAATATACAGCTATTTAGTTCACGAGACATAACAATTGAGAACATGAGTTAAAAAATTAAAAATATAAGTTGTTAAAAGGAGTACGTCAAAATCGATGGCTGAACTTTATCACTTCTTGCAACGTACGTGGAAACTCTTCTTTCCGTAAAGATTTTTTTCTTTTTTCTTTTTATGTATAAGAAGATAGGATTTGAATCGGGAACAACTTTTAAAAAGGAAGTTGTATAATTGATAACTAGATCACGATCCTGTTAAAGAAAACTAACTTTATAAGATCCATTACTTGTAATTTTAATGAAGAAAATTCTATAAACATAAAACTCATTGAGCATTGGATTTTGATTGCATAATTTTACAACTTTTATACAAATTGTAAGGAGCCCTCTGCAGCTTGATAAATAGTCTCAAGTTTCATAAATACAAGTTTGTATAACACTATTAGGCATGTAACAGTGTATGCGTTTTTTATTCTTATATGAAACCGCGTATAAGTTATATTATTACATAATTTTTTTATGGATTTATATTTCTCTTAAATATTTAAGACAATTGTTTACACAAGACTTGGAATTTCATCTGTACCTGTCTGAGGGCACACTCGTAATCTTCTGGGGGAAGGGCCGAACGGGAGCTTCAGGTGGATTCTTCAGAGGGGGATGTACCTGCAAAAGACACTCCAACGCTCAAGTTAGGACAAGCACAATTTTCTAGGATAATGATTGAACAGTGATGTACCTCGATATAAGTGACTTATTTATACTACCTTTAATGGGCCTTTTTTGAAGCTTACCAAATTAGGTAATACGACTCTAATCAGCTGATTACATCTTAATCATGCATTTGTCCTTGTTAATCGTGATCATAGCTGTAATCCTTGTTTTATCCCTCAACTCATTGCCGAGCCGACAGGTAAAGGCTTGGGGTGTTGGATGTCTTCGGCCTTTGGCCGGGCCGACAGGTATTGTTGCTATCCTACCGGGTCGGCATTAGGCCGAGCCGATATGTAGGGCATATGGGGACATGGTACTTGTTACTGGTCTTCAACCGAACCGAGGTTGCTTGTGGATTCTTCTCGGCCCTCGGTCGTATGCCGAGCCGATGTTAGAGTCAAGGTTGATGTATGGTCATGGTTGTCTTTAGTCCGCGTGGGTGTCTAACGGAACGGCACGTGTTGGTCCACGTGACCGATAGGATCCCTCCGATACACAAGCCCCCCAGCCTTGAGGAGCGAAACGACGCGAAGGGTAAATATAAAGTGTCGGTTGCGGGAATTGGTTTGAAAATGTGGGGAATCGTGACCATGGGGTATGTTTCTTGGGGACACAACTGGTGGGCATTGATGACGCGTGAGGGGTTATAACTGTTGGTGGAATGTCAAGGGTTGTAACCGTTGGGCATTGATGACGCGTGCGAGAGGTTACAACTGCTCATGGAATGCCAAGGGTTGTAACCATTGGGCATTGATGACGCATACGAAGGGTTGCGCGCTATAGACCGTTGGATCAAGTTGATCCAACGGTGTTCAGGGAGGTGTGGCGTTTGAAATGATTGGAAGGGAGCCTATAAATAGGCGTGGTGATGGGGACCTTAATGTGTGTAACATGTGTACTCCGAGCCGAGATCAATTGAGTTGCAGCGTTCGAGTAGCTTTCAACGAAGATCGATTAAGTTCTACATTTAGGTACGTAATGGCAGATGTTAATGTTGTTCATATTGACTCCTCTGGGGACATAGGTTGTAACGACCCGGCTGATCACTACACACTACACAGTACACTTGAAAACCGGACAGAAAGGAACAAGTGTATACATATAGTGTCTAGAATATACATATATACATGGTCCAAGTCTGACTAGATTCAAAGTGTACAAAAATACATCCAAAGCTACTACACCAAGTAGCTGAAACAACAAAACATCAACAAGGATCAGCTCCGCCTACCAGCTGCAGACTCACCACTAGCCACCAACCTATCCCTGCTCTGCTCCCATACATAATATGATCATCGCAGTCCAAACCACATGGAAACAACAAAGGGTAAGCTAGTGTAAAGAAATCGACATACATACATAAATATGTAAATAAAAGCATCTACAGCTATCAGCACACCCGTACAGCTTATACTACACCACAACAAATTCAGCAATATCAGCACCGCTCAGCGGCTATAACAGCACCACAATAGTGGCTAACAGCACCGACATAGCGGCTATAACAGCACCACAATAGTGGCTCCGACTTAGCGGCTATAACAGCACCACAATAGTGGCTAAACACAGCATACAGCTCAGCTAACACAGCACAGCCAAACAGTTCACAACACAGCACAA